CATTTGGAGTCCTGCTTTTCCTTTTGGGAAAACAGTGGGAATAAACAGGTTGATGTAGAGTAATCCTGTTAGGAGCTAGCATGGACGGTATTGCAGCACGCAGATGCATCTGGAGTGGGAACTCAGGTCAGACCCCCATCCCAGGCTCTGCGTCTGCTCTGTTCCCACAGCCAAGAGCGCCGGGCCCATGGGCACGGTGTGAGGTGGGACCACCCTCTGCATGCCTCTTGGTGACCTTTCTGAGTCAGCAACCCCAGACCCTGCATGGTGGCCCTGGCACAGCTTGGGGACAGCCGAGCTCCTCCTGGGCTCGGCTCCTCAATCCACTGCAAACCATCCTTCTCCTCCATATGGACCCAAACCCCGGCACCTCTCCTCCCAGGGCCCGGGGGAACTCACGTTTAAACTACTTGAAAACAGTTGAACTTTTGAAACAGGCTGGGTGGTGGGAACCCTGCAGCGGGGGCTGCCCCTCGCCAGCTGGCAGCACATGGCAGTGCCAGCACGGCATCTGTGCCACACAGCCATCGCCGTCACGTCCCCGACAGCCGCAGCGTGCAGCAGTCAGCCAGGTCTCAGTCCTGTCTCTCTGCGGGCTTTTTCAGCTACTTATCCTGAAAACGGGAGCGTCAGGGATTCTTTTTGTTCCAAAGGAGAGACCCTGTGTACAATTAAAACTTGTTTCTGGTAAACCTCATTCCAGGAAAGATGAGCTTTTAACAAAAGGCTTTTGACAGCTGCAGGGTATTTCATTTTTTTAATGCCGAATGAAAAATCAATACATTTTTCTAGGTTATACATATTCAGAACAGGCTTGATATTTCCATTATAATGGAAAATGGGTGTCTGCACATCTCGCCTGTCAGAGCTGCACCGCCGCATTTTCCAAGCCACTGCTAAATATTTCAAACCTGATTTGATTGTGGTTCATGACAGCTAATGTTTCTCAGCTCTCGAGCCTGCCGGAGGGTGGAGAGGCAGTGCACGCTCTTTCTCTCCCATCCCTACATTTCCGCCACCCCTGAAATGCCCCTTATCCCTTCAGATAAGAGATCTGGGTTTGTTAAGGAAAACCTGACTGAGAGAATGAGAGGTGAGAGGTCTTGGGCTGTTCAAGCTAGTCTGGATCCCATCAGCATTTGCCGACTTCTCCAGCCCTCAAACTTACTGTGTTTGGGCAGGGGCAGACGGCAGGAGCGTGGTCCTGTGCGACAGAGCACAGTTATTCGGGCACATTTCAGTGCGTAACTGAGTCAGAGGTTCCCTGACCTCTGCAGAAGTCAGATACTCGTGATTTTCCAGACTCTACTCCTGCTCTTCCCCCACTCCTCTGCAGTGAACGGTTTAATTTTAAATTAAAAGGAAATACCGCTTTCTAAAATGATTTATTCATGAAGGAAGCAAAGACTCTTCCTAGGATTTTGCATGGGGCAGGTGGGATATGATGGAAAAGCAGCTTCTTGGGCTCCAGGGGCTGCAATTGCTCACTCTCGGTATTGACCTGGGCCCTGGCAGTTGGAAAATTCCTTTTAAAAGTTATTAATAAAGCATCATGGACTTGGGGATGGAGCTCTGGCGTGGAGACGCGTGCACAGCGTGTGTTGTTTGTATTTCAGGGGGACATGATTCTCCCATACAAATGTCACAACAACAGCTCTTGCACCTCTGAAGTCCGAACAGCATGTGCAGCTTTGGAGGGCTGGGGTGCCAGGTGTTAACAAAAGGGTCATGGTGATTTGGAAGTAAATTCCCTCTGTCTTACTGACCATGGCTCACTCAGCCTCGGGAGCTGACCTTGGCATGGTCTGCACACTCAGCTGCAGGTGGGTCCCATGGGCCTTTACGTAAGGACGGTGGTGGGCTCTGCTCGTGCACAGTGTGGGGACAGCGTGACACCGGGCTTTGCAGACAATGACAATGGAAACTCCTTGTGGATTGAGGGAGGAGCAGACCTTTCCCTACCAGATGTGCTGCTGGCCTTGTCCTCGCAGAGGGTTGCCCCAAAGGGGCACAGGGGGACGGATGGTTGGCTGCCTTCATGCAGGTGTTTGCTACTCAGACCTGTACCATGCCACAGAGCTGCTGCTGCAGCTCAACAACCGCGGAGCTGTCATCAGAGAGCGTGGGCACAGGCCTTTCAGGAGCAGGAGCTTCGCTGCTTTTACCATCAGTGTTGAGGTCTCCTTGCCAGAAGCTGGGTCAGACAGAGGTGTGAGCCCCACGTGTGCTGAAGGCGAGTTCTCAGCGAGTCAGAACCAGGGGAAGGGCTGCTTTACCCACCATCCCTGGGCTCAGCAGGAACACCGGCGGCTGCAGCACAGGCCAGGCTGAGCATGGTGAGCAGAGCTGCCTCTGCCTTCCAGAGACGTCTGCTTGAAGGGGATCGCGAGGCAGCTGGAGTTAACGCTTCCCATTCTCTGGGACTACGTGCCAGAGGCCCTGGGAGCAAGGAGCTTGGCAGGGATGGTGCTAGGACCTTCCCCATCTGGTTCAGAGCCTCCCTGGGCAGATGTGTTGGACTCTGGTCCCTCCCATCCTGCTTTAAAAAAATTACTCTTCAGAAAAAAAATAGCTCAGGGTGGAACAAGAGAAAGGTTCAGATCTGGATCTGCTCCCTGCCCCCCTGCCCAGCACAGGGTGTTGAGCTGAGAGCAGGTCATGGTCCTCAGAGAGGAGCATTCCTGGGATTGGGGCTGGGGAGTGCTCAGTGCCGGGGATGTGGGGGCTCAGCTTGGGCTGCTGGGGGGTGGACACAAAGGACTGCCGCCCCAGCCGTGCTGGGGACTTGCATTCATAGCCTTGTTTTTTAATAATTTTCTCCCGGTATTGGTATTCATAGCTCACATTTTTCCGGTTACTGTCAGCCTGGGCTTTCATCCATTTTAAAGAGCTATTTTTTCCCCTGTTGATGATGATGATGGTATAAAGACAGATGGTGTAACTGCTTATGAATGTCCTATTTTATTCCCCTCGAACCAGACAGCACACTGTAAGACGTGTATTATTTCCACATGCTCAGGTTAGAACCCAGACAGCGGCTGAGCCTGGCTTGCCCTTCCTCTTCCTCCCATGCCGATGCTGACACCTCCGGGTCGCAGCCGGCAGTGCCGCCGCACCGGGTGCCCTTTGTTGTTTCAGCCGGGCCGGGAGCTCTGGGCTGGGGGTCTCTGGGCTGGGGGCCAGGGCTGAGCAATGGTGGGGCCGGGGCCAGGGCATTTGTGTGATGGCCATGGGTGATGAGTGATGTGCAGTGGAGTGCGGGCCATGGGCCATGGGAGGTGGGAGCCATCTCCTCACCTTGTCCAGGGGGGTCAGGGAGCATCTGAGCCAACAGACAACACTGTGTGTCTAGAGACAGGTTAAAATGATGATTTAAATAAAATGTAGAAACCCATTAAAGAAGGTTTTTAATAAAACCAGATAAATCTGCTTCTGCAGTAGCTCCCCCAGCTGATGGGACATTCTTACCCTACTTGAAGTGGTTTGAAGGCACCAGGGTGGTGGGGTTGTGTGCACCACCAGGGTGGTTTGTTGTGGTTTTTTCCCCTAGAGTGGAAAAAAGATTGGAATTTTAATTTCTGAAACGTGAACCCAGCTGCTGTTTCACAGCCCTTCTCCCAGCAAACTCGAGCACTTGGCTCATGTGGCAAACTGCCCATCTCGCCCCTCCATCAGTGATTAGTGTCTTTCTACATGTTGGGTGCCTTTGTCAGCACTGCTACCCCTCTCACTCTGGAGTCCTGTTTTCCCAGGGAAAGCCCATGGGATCCCTACAACTCTTGAGAGTTCCCAGCTTTTAAAAGAGTAAAAGGAGTAGAGCATAAATCACCTAATATCAGCTGATCTCTGGATGCTTTTACAAGTTCCTCCCCAATTTAGGCTGACACATCCTCAAAGGGCACTGCTGAGTATCTGCGAGCTCCTAATACGTATTTTTAGCCCAAATTTCTAGCCCTGTCTTTGTTAGGGGGATGGTGAGGGGTGGTGCTTGAACTGATTAGGTGGTTCAAGTAAACTCCAGGATAGCCTCGGATTTACCATGACCAGATAATGCAAGTTAAAATTATAAACTATGCTGCCTCAAAATTTATATAATAGCCTAGAAGTGCCGTTTAGCCCAGTGGTGGGGTAACCCCTGTCAGTTATAGGGACTGTACATAAATACCCAAAATAGTAGATGATAATGTATCTGTTACACCCTGGTATAACAGCCACATTGCTCTCGCTCCCAGTGTCCCACCTGACGAGATTGGCTTGGAGCTGGACCGTGCTGGGTTGACACGCTCCATGCCTGGCCTTGGCACATTGGTGCTGTTATTACGGGCAGGGCCAAGGTGCTCTGCATTTTGTTCTGAGCTTTCAGCACTTCACTGAGTGTTGTCTCTCCTCCGTGCTTTGGCACCTGCGTGGTGCTGCCGGGGTTGGCAAACTCTTCCCCTGACTGGGGTGAAGCCAGAACCCTGAGCAGGTTCCTCCCGTGCCTCGTGTCCAGGCCGTGGCTGCAGCAGACCGAGTTGCTCCAAGTCTGAGCAGGAGGGATGTGATGTGTCTGCAGTGAACTCAGGCATCTCAGTGATCAGGGTCAGTACTGTTCTGGGGCCAAAGAGCTTGCAAAGGGGATGAGGAGGAAGGATGAGGCTGAATGTGCTGGAGGCTCCAGCCAGTCCCTCATGCGTCTCTAATCCATGGTGTGGCTGGGTAGACCCTTCTTGTAGAGAGAACTGTGTCACTGTACACAACACCTCAGGGGACCTTTGTAGCTCCAGGTGGTAGAATTGGGAAAGATTCTTCATTTTGTCTTTATCTCTTGCTTCTTTCCTCTGTAATTTATGCCTTGACTAGCAAGCAGATGTGTTGGGAGAACACTGAGTGATGTTGATAGCTGCCACACAACACTTGTGCACAACCTTGACTGTTGCTCTTACTCAATGGCAGCTTCTTACTCTTCTGTTCTGCCTTCAATGTCTGTGTTACACTTTCTGCTTCTTCTGTTTCAGAAGAACCCAGTGAAGATGTGGAAGGGCCCAATGAAACAACTGGTGATGCTGAGGAGCCTGCCAAGGAGCAAGAGAGTGGAGGGGACAAGGACCAGAGTAAATGGACAGGTATGATTCTGTGATATAGCAGAGGTGGCGTTTGTCCCTCTTTTTTTTAAATTCAGGAAAGGGGGGTGGGAAGAGCAGTGTCCGCAAAACCCTTCCTTAACAGACCACAACATGGCATTGTCAGTGTCTGTGTGATGTGTCATCCTCTGTGAAGGCTTTGGGTGTAGCTTCATGACATACCCAATAGTTTGAGTCGTGGTGGGTCATGCATCCCCACTCCCAGCCCCAGGCTGGTGCTGGGCATTGTGTGCTCCAGAACTGGACCTGGGCAAGGGGATCTGCAGCTAGGAGAGGAGGAGGGAGAAGGGGACAGCCCCTCGTGGCCCTTGTGGCAGCAACCAGCACAAAGTAGGATTAAGCATATCATTTGGTGACTCCATGACTGTCTCCCTATGGAGAGGGACATCTCTCCCTTCAGCTGGCCCTTGGTGACCGCTTCAGCATGGGTACAGAACCTGAGGCACTGGAGGCGGCACCCATTTTCCTTGGACCAGGACGGAGCAGTTCTGACTCCTGGGTCCCATTTCTCCATGCTGGCCTGCTCGGTTGGCAGGCTCGGGGTTGGTCAGTGTGATGCCTCAGTCTGCGCAGAGACCCTTCTTCCAGGCAGCCTTCTCCTTCTGCTTTCGTGTTTACCTCTTGGTGAGCCCCAGACAAAGATATTTTGTTTTATATAGTCTTCACAAGGATGGAATGTGGTGTTTCGTGTCTACAGTTCTAATCTCAGCCTGTCTCAATCTCAGTCAATGGAAGATGTGTCCTAATGGGCAGAGAGGGCAAGCTGGGCCTAACTGCTTATTGAGGATTGTGCTCTCGGTATGGGCTCCACTCAAGGTTGCTCTGTGTGTTCCTCCCTATCACAGACCCGTTCTTAACCCAGAAATGCGGATATTGCTTGGCTCTAGGTGGTTTTTAGTCTCATGTGGGATTTTATGATCCTGAGCATAAGCACTTTGTGAAGTATCACAGAAAGAGGTAAGTATTATTTATTGATTACATCTCTTCAGGGGTAAGTAGGGCCATTTGCCCAAACCTGAAGCGCTTAAAAAGGCTGATCATTTTGAAAATATTATTTTTATATCTAAAAATATGTAAGGAAAAAAGAGGAGCCTTCTTTTTAAACCCTTTACTGTCCAGAAACTCTGGATTTGGATGGGTTTATTTCTTCATCATGCTAGTGAAATTTCTAACCCAGTGTTTGTCAGCCAAGGAGCAAATCAGAAATGGGATGGCTCCATAGAGTCTGCAAAGGGAACTAACTGTGTGTGGAGAGTATGCAGAATGGACATGTGAGCCTACAGAGCATGGGACCAGCCTTGTCTGGAGCACAGCCTCAGCATGGTGTGTGATGTGCTGATGCTGAACTCAGGTCCTGCTTGCAAACACATAACACCACCGCCCTGAACTTTAAAGCATTATGATGTTACCCAGTGTTGCTGTCTGGCAGGTGTGCAAAGGAGGCACCACACCTCATTCACTTTCCTGATCTTGAGGCTCCTTTGAGGAACGTGGCTGTGTTGCCGGGTCCTTCTGGACCTCAGACATGGGAAGTAATAGAAACTGAGTCAGATTATTCCTGACAGCCACTAAGGAGCCAAGTACAGGGACATGAAAACGCCCCAGTACCAGTGGGGCTGTGAGCAGAGAGGGGAGCAGGCAGTACCAGGAAGCTCTCAAGGAGGAGGAGGCTGCTGGCACTGAGCCAGTGTGCTCTCGGCAGCAGGGTAAGGCTGTGACCATGGTGTCATAAGGCTGAAGAGCACGAAGCCTTCTTTGCATTCACTTTCACTAAGCAGAGCAGCACAGCCCATGTCAGTGGCACGGCGGGGAGAGCCCGTCCCCCATCTGCCAGGGAACAGGCTGCAGAGCACTTGGTGACACTGAACATTGTCCCTGACCTTCTGCATCATACCTGGGTGTTGGGAGAAAGTGCCTGGAGCATCTCAGACCTGCCAGCTGCTCTGTCTTGTGCTGTGCAGAAGAGAGGGGAGGTGCAGCGAGGGACAGACATGGGGCTTGTCCCTGGCTGAAGGAGTGGCTGGGGAACCACACACCTGCCAGCTCCATTTGCCCCAGATTTTCCTGGGAATTGACCAAACAACTGTTTGTAAGTGCTGATGGGAAGATAATGAGATGAGGAACAGTCGACACGGATTTGTCAAGAACAAATCATGTCAACACGACCCAATTTCCCTCTGTGTGAAGAAGGTCCTGTTTGCAGTCAGTGTCTCCTTGGGAAGGCTTTCGATGCCGCTTTTCAGGACAGGCTGAAATGAAGCCCAGACACTGTGGTGTGGGTGACAATGTTGTGCCATGGGTGGGTTTCGTCAGCACCGGAAAGTTCTCCTTTCCTGAGCTGGGGCATTGGGAAATGTGGGGAGCAATTTCAGAAAGCCCAAACAGCAGGAATGACCCAGAACAGAGCAACATCAGCTGGGAGAAAATGTAATGAACAGGCTTATTTGCCCCAAAAAAAGACTGAACAGGAGGACAAGATAAGTCTTCTTGTGCATGAAATGCTTCTGAAAGGGAGGAAATAATTTGTTCTTCATGTTGAGGATACAGACAACAAGACACAATGGGCTTAAATTGAAGGGAGAAAGATTGAGGTTAGATAATAAATAAAAAAAAATCCTGTACAGCCTGTGAAGCGCTGGAGTGGGTTTTCTGGGAAGGTTCCTCAGAGGTCTTTCAAGAAGATTAGAGGAGCTGCTGTCGGGAATGAGGCAGGCACAGTCTATCCTGCTTTGGATGGACTGGCTGACCTTCGGAGGAGCCTCTGAGCCAGGCGACTCTGTGAAGGTGGAGATGGAGGCGGGAGAGGTGCAGGCTCAAAGCCAGTGACTGGCGTGTGGAAGGGGAGGGGAACAGATCCGTTTGCTGCTCATCACCTTCAATTTGATCATTATGTTCCTCAGCAATTTGCTCCCCTTTGTGCCTCGGTTTCCTCACTGTGCACAGGGGGTTTATTTCTCCCACTTTCTTAGAGGTTTGTGAGATTTGTAAGGAAATGCCGAGTTCCCCTGCCCAGCTCCCTGCCCTGATGCAGAGGTGAGGGGCTGTGCTGTGGTGGGTATGGCCCAGGTGCAGCCTGTGTAGGGTCAGTCTCAGCACCGAGGGGAAAAATTCTGTTTTCATTGCGAATTTGTCAAAATGTCTCAACTGCAAAATAAATATATCGATTCGTTCTTGGTGTTTATTTTAAAATGGAATAATGTGAAGCAGAAACATTTCTTAAGGTGATATTTTCCAGTTGAGTATACACGTGGAAAACTCCATCCCAAATAAGGACTCACTGGATCTTGATTTTCACAGGCTTCTCTGTAGCTCCTAGAAGGTTCTGGAAGATGGCAGTGCCTCCACACTGGAACAGAGAGATGTTCTGTGCCCACCTCTGTGCTGGAGTAGGGAGATGCTCTGTGCCTGATGGCTCAGCATTAGACATTCTCTTGTCATGACTAATGTAAGATTTACCGCAAGCAAACCAGCGAGGGGAAAAGGTATTGTGGCTGATCTTGACTCCATTTTTAAGGCAGGATGTCGATGATGGATACTGAGCTGAAACGGGATCAGGCCAGGACAGACCAGTACGAGGCCTCTGGGTTCAAGGTGGTGCTGGTCTGTGTCTCTGACCGAGAAGCCCATCACCAGCAGTGACCTGGCTACCAGAGACTTCCTTAATGCAGTCTATTGGGTACTCAGAGTATATCAGGGTTTTTTCCACAAAAACAAGAAACAAAGTCTACTTAAAATATAGATTGAAATGAAATCTTTCTGGAGGACTGGCCTGAAGGGCTTTTATTTTTGTTAATGATTTTTTTTTTTTTAATCCATGATGCTCACCTAACAGAGCAATTAGTGCAATGGAGCGTCCCTGATTCAAATCCGTGGTAGATTGCTATTAAAGGAGGTATTAATGGGCTGCCGAGAGCTGGGAAATTGTTGCAGAAAAGTGTGTTTATGGACTATGGTGCTGGCAGGCATGATTTCAATCGGCTTTGACATGTTTAACATAAATGTATACTGCACAGCTCCTGCAGTTTATGAATAATTCCTACAGGCCGACTGCCTTTCTAATTACTGAAATTGAAAAAAACAGGTCAGGCACATCCTGACGGAAATCTATTCCTGCCCCTCCCCCCGGCTGCTTTTTGCTGCTTTTTTAATATCTGGCATTTGTGGAGCACTTAATGGCCGGGATGTTCTGGGGGCCTGAGAGGCTGGGAGGAAGGGGACGAGGGGCATGATGGAGCCACTCTCAGCACTGACGCCTGCGCCAGGGAAACCTGGGAGAGGGGATGGGAAGCTGCTTCTAACTGTGTTTTTCCAAGGATATACAAAAGGCTCCTGGGAGGCAGCTCCAGGTGGCTCTGTGCAGTAGCCAGCTGGGCTTGGGGCACACTGGGCTCTGGCAGCATCCGTGGGTGCCAGGGGAGCTGAACTGGGCTATGGGGCCATGGGGAAGGTCCGTGGTGCCCGTAGTGCCAAGCAAAGCACTGCCTCCACGTGCCCCTGGTGCTGCCTGACGTCTCACCACAGCGTCTGCTGGGTGCTCTGTGTTCGTACGGAGCGAGGCAGGGAAGTCTGGTGGCGGCCGGGGCTTCTGGGTACTGTGATATGAATATTTAATAGTAATTCAGCTGTGGGTACTCGCTGCAGGCAGGAAGGTATGACACAGCATTAGAAAAACAAATTATTCGGCCATTTTCAGGGCCAGAGCCATGCGAGGCGGCAGCGAGGGCGGGTGCAGAGTGCCCGTGCCGAGTGCAGGGGGTGTTTACCTGTCCATCATGTTATTGTCAAATACAGAGCTGAGAAATGCTGTAGAGCAACAGGCAGTGCACAGGCCTGATAGTGTGGCTACAGCAGCTGATAGAACGGAAGGTATGTTCAGGGAACAAGGAATTAAACAGACGGTATTTGAGGAGGAAACGTTGGCCCATGTGTTACTGAGGAGGGGGCAGTGCTGTGGCACTGCTGGGTGCCCCATACCATTCTCTGAGGGTTCCAGGGAGCTCCAGGTGCTCCTGGGTCGTGGAAGTTCCTGGAGAATGGATGAAACCGATAAACGAACCCTGGGTTTCGGGACAGCCACAGGTGCTGTAAGGGCAAAGGACAGTGGCCGTGGGCATTGCTGGCAGAAGGCTGGGTGGCACAGCAGCAGCTTCAGCTGGTCCTAGGGCTCGTGATGCTGAACGATGGCTCTGAGAACACATCAAGGCAGTTTGGGGCAGGCAGCACCACCAAATACAGAATGTTATTTTCCATCGAGCAGTGAAAGGACAGTTCCCTGATCCCGCTGAGAAGTTTCCCAGGCCAGCGGCTGGACTTCGTGACAGGGAATTTTTCAGAGGCTGGGGAGGAGGGTGGTGTTTAAATCAATGGCAATAGCAGAAACCCCACTGTAAATTTCTAGGGCAAGTGGCAAGCTGGTTTACGGAATGCAGGGAGATGAGAACCTCTAGCTTACGGAAAGCAGCATGAATTAATAATCATTTAATTGGCTTTTCCATTATGTTGCTGGGTTGGGAGATGGAAGTTTAGATGAAGGGGCTGTCAGTGGTACTTTAGCTAAAAGATTCTGATGGCTGAGAGGTGGGTGGCAACTCCCTTCCCACCAGGATAGAGAACACGAGCTTGGGGGACCCATGCTGGCTTTCCCTCTGGAACCAGCAAGGGAAAGGTCTCCACTTCGAAGGAAGTGCCCATCTCACCTCTGGAATAATGCTGGGGAGAATCTCTCTTCCTCCTCTGAAAAGCAGAAGCTGCTGAGAAGAGTGAGAAGATAAGTAGGTCTCCAGAAGTGCTATGGCAGCACTGCCTAATCACACTTGGCTTTAGGGGACATTAGTTTAGAAATTTTATTTAAATTTTAGATTTAGATGTTCCTCTGAATCGTCAAATCTGAATTAAATCCATTTAAAGAATCAAAGTATGTAACAGTACTATCCAATATGTAGGCATATGTCATACTTTAAACCAAATTCCTTTTTCTGCCCTGCAAGGCCTTGACCTGGAAGCAAGATGCTGGCCTGTGGTCACGGTACAGGTGGTGTCTGCATTTGCTCTGGTGCCTCACGGCCCTTCGAGGTCATGGCTCCTTGTACATTTTGAGACCAAGATGTTCTGTCCTGTCCTCTCTGCACAGACAGAAGGTCCCACGCCATGCTGGGAGCCTTGCAGGCGGGTGCCGAGCTGCGTCCTTGTTTCTCCAGGCAGCAGAGAGTTCTTTATTTCTCTGATCTGTGATGTGGACTGAATGTGTCACTTCATGTATTTGCCTGTTTATCAACAATAAACTTTGGTCTCAGTGTTAAAATTCCCACTTGAGCTGTCAACTCAAAATACTTAGAACAAATATTCCATGTGCATTTTTCAGAACCCTGCACCAAATTAATTATTCTGGAGTCTGGACAATCATCAGTAACTCTGGTTTTGAAGGCTTAAAGTTATGGGTTGGATCAAGTGCATTTAGTAAAATTGGGTACTTACTTTAGAGATGGTGAGGAAAAGTACATTTTAATTACCTGTTACTAATTCTAAGCAAGCTGCTTCCCAGTAGAAAGGAGATGAGAAAATACCCTGTCGTGACTCCCAAGGTTGCAGCTGGTGTTTAGCAGCCTGTTTGTAGCTGATGGTTGAGCTGAATTTGGTCACTGCATCCAGAAACATCCTGCTACTGAGCAGCTGGTGCAGAAACACAGGGAACCCCAGTCACCACCCAGTGCAGAGAGGTCCAAGGGGACCCAAAGCCATGACTGTCATTGTCCCAGCCTGGTGCAGGGCTGGAGCAGGGCTCACATGGCTGCCTGACTGCCCTGACAGACCTGGGGTCTCCAGCTGCCAGTCTCAATGTCCAACTGCCTGATCAGGGCTGGCGCTTCAGTGTCTGAGGTCACACTGAGGAGTGGACCATGTCAGCCGTGATCAGGCTCCCGACCAGGGCCGCTCACATCACACAGGGCTCGGGCAGGGTGTTTTAAGGCAGGGTGGTGTCGAGGACAGTGCCAGGGTGGTCCTTCGCCCACTACAGTGCTGGCTGTTGGTGGTGATCTCTGCCTCCCCAAACCCTCCAGGAGGGACTGCATTCCTCAGCGGAGGAGCAACAAGGTGGTACCATGTGCCTAATGCTCCAAGCATGTTTATTACAGGAAGCAAGGAAGGCCAACTCTGGCTTTGCAGACACCTTTAACCCCTTTCCACTTCTGAAGCCCAGGGAGGATCTTGGTTCAAGCAGTGGGCTGAGCAGAGCAGCATGTCATTCCACAGGGGCAGAAGGATCTGTGTTAGTGTCTGTCATTCGTCACTGACACTGCAGACTTGTTTTACACAAGGAAATGCCTGGTTTGGACATTGTCGTGGATTTGGCAGCACAGCAGAGTCCTGTGGTTTGGCTTTCAGATACAGCCAGGACTGTGCATCCGTGCATGGAGGCTGGTGCCCAGCCAGGACTGAAGCACCAGGTGCGCAACTGGCAGCACTGCAGGGAATGAGATCACCTCCAAGCCTACCAGGAGGAACTCAGCGATCCCAGAGCTCCTCCAATCCCTGCCTCACTCCGACACTACCGTTACCTATTTGAAATACTTGTTTTCCTTCTCCTGGAACTTACTTTGTCTCTATCTAACTGAACGCGCAGAGGTGGGGACTGTCAGGGAAGGCAGTTAGAAACGGGGATTGTATTCCCCACTGTGATTTGGTACCTTTGGAAATACAGCTCATGCCAGTGCACTGAAGGGTCTTTGGGAAGGAAGCAGTTTGCCAGGATCTGACTCTAACGGCATCTTCTGAAACAAGAAGCAGATACCAGCGGGTTCACAAGGAGAGTAGGAGACAGGGGGAAAAGTGTGGGGGACCGGCCTGAGAATGCTACAGTGCCTTGTTAATCGGCAGCCGATCCATCATATTAAATATCCAGCTGTCAGATATTACCTTTCAAGTGAAAATGAATAACTCCCATTAAGGGCGAAATGGGTTTGAAGTCGATTCGAGACAGATTAAAGTACTGTTATGAATGTGTGTTCGGGGAGGAGGAGACGGGGGCTGTGTATAATATACTTGTCCTTACAGTTTTTAAATAATAGATGTCCCACAAATTTATGTACTGCAGGCGGCCAGGGTTCGGGGGAGGGGAAAGGTCAGAGATGTGCTTCTCCCAGTGCCACAACTCACAGAATGTTTTGCTGTTGACTTCAGGACTCGTTTGCCTTTCTCTGTTTGGCTGTTATAAAATGGCCTTTCCTCAGCTTGTCAAGGTGGGAGTGTCTGGGTCCCATAGGCCAGGTCCCACCAAAATCGGGATTTTGGCAGGCCCACATCCTGGGAAGCACCAGAGATGCATACTCCTCTGGAAGCATGGGCTGAGCCGGCCGGAGCCATCCCAGCAGTGCCGCTGCTGCCAGCACGGGTGCCGTTGGTTGGGTTGACAGCCACAACCACCGGCCCTCTACAGGGCAAACGTATTCCAGAGTGTCCATGTGTAAAATGTCCTGGGTGAGCAAAGGGTATGAGTTCTACCTCACTGAGTCAGTCCAGCTGCCACTGAAGGTGACACATGGGCCTTCACATCTGGCCAAGAATTTATGTGTTGGACATAACCACAGGCCCAGACCCTCCTGCACCCGCAGGTTGTAAGCAGCCCCCAGAAACAGCTGAGATCTCTCTGCTTCTGGTCACCAGTCACACAGTTCCTGTGCTGTGGGAGATCATCAGCAAGAATGAACTGGTTTTGGCCAAGTGTGCGTTGTAGGACTTAGTTAGTACTCATCCTCCTCCAAGTCCTTGGGGGGTGTGTCAAGCAGTAAATGGAAGCACTGTCCAACCTAGACCTCTTTGGAGGTTTCCTGATGTAAATCACTTTTTGTTGCAGCACCAGCCAGCCAGGCAGAGAAGGAGCTGACGGAGCCTCCAGCGTCCTCTAAGCGGATATCGTTTCCCAGCAGCTCTGAGTCGCCTCTCTCCTTTAAATGGTCAAAAACTTCAGAGGAGACCAAATCAGAGCAGGTAAGGCGGAAGAACTCACCTTTCTGTGCAGGTAATTTGTTTCCAATGTGCCAAAAGCAAAGAATAAAATGGGAGAAGGAGGATGAAAGGCAATAACTGGTGATCGGATAAGGCATCAAATTATTAAAGCCTGACTGTAAGAGGAAAGCAGCGGCTGGAACAGCTGTGTGATTCATTTGTCTTCTCTGCAGATGTACCAGTGTCCGTATTGCAAGTACAGCAACACAGACGTGAACCGGCTGCGGGTGCATGCCATGACCCAGCACTCTGTGCAGCCCATGCTCCGCTGCCCACTCTGCCAGGACATGCTGAATAACAAGATCCACCTGCAGTTGCACCTCACCCACCTGCACAGCGTGTCACCTGACTGTGTTGAGAAACTCATCATGACGGTAAGTGGCTGCATAGGCAAGTGTGTCCACTGCCATCCCAGCGTGTCCGCTGCCATCCCCGTGAAGGTGAGGAGCAGAGGTTGCTGCAGTGGGCAACTACTTCACCTATCAGGGCTCTGCCATTGAGGTTCATCCCATCCCGATAGGTCGTGTATGAGTTTGAGCCCTGTGGAAGTGTTGAGTGATTTCCCTGTGAAGAGGTCAGGATAAATACAATTTCCTTGACCTGATCACTGCAGGTCACTGCATGGGATGGCAGCTTGCACAGAAGCTTCTGGAAGATGCAGCAGCTGATGAGATGTTTTGTCACATTATACACTCTTTTTTCTTTGGTAAAATCTTTGAGGGAAGATCGTGTCTGCATTAAGAAGTTGTCACCAAGTATACAGAATAAGTTCTTATTTTGCCAGTTCTTTTTCTTTGTGATTTTTTCTTGCACTCTGTTTCTGCTTGTTTTCTCCCTTCTTTGCTGATTCCTGGCAGTGGAGGTGAATAACACTGTGTTTGTTGTAATACTCATGTTCTGTATCAGCTCCCTCCTGTGACATCTTCTGAGCAAGCACACACAGCATGGCCCAGCTGTTCTCTTACAGTTCTCTGGTCTTCTCTTTCTGTCACTCTTCCTCTCTACAACTCCCTTCTGAAAGGAGGTTGGAGCCAGGTGGGGTCAGCCTCTTCACCCAGGTAACAAGTGGTGAGAGGAAATGGCCTCAAGCTGCACCAGGGAAGGTTTAGATTGGATATTAGGTAAAATTTCTTCACAGAAAGGTTTGCAAAGCTCTGGCACAAGCTGCCCAGGGAAGCTGTGGAGTCACCATCCCTGGAGGTGTTCAAAAAAACATATGGATGTGGCACTTGAGAACATGGTTTAACCTGGTGGTGGTGCTGGGTTGATGGTTGGACTTGATGATCCTAAAGGTCTTTTCCAACTTTAACAATTCTATGATTCCTCTTGTGACTCCTTCTCAAAGACAGGGTCATGGAATCACAGGATGGGTAATGTTGGCAGGGACCACCAGAGCTCTTCCAGCCCAGCCTCCCAGCTCAGACAAGGTCCCCTGAGCACATTGCTCAGAATTGTGTCCAGACAGCATTTGAGTATCTTCAGGGAAGGAGATTCCACAGGCTCTCTGGGCAACCCGTTCCGGTTCCTGCTCCATCAATACCTTTATGCTCCTTATCTTCCCGCTTTGCTTTACCAACTGCCTGTCCCCTCAGGGCTCAGCAGGATGTGGCTTTGCTCTGCAGGCCACCTGTGTGCCTGAGTTACAGAGCTGTCCCGTCACAGAGATCGCGGCCTCTGTGGCCTGTGTCTGTTTCACTGGTGCTGGTCAAGTCTGTAAATACCTTTTCCGGGCTTGAACGACTCTTGCTCACCTCTAACTACATTGATGGCAGATGTTTTGACCTTCTAAGAGCAGCGAGCAAAATCTGAGCACCTTCCTTAGGCCAGTAAGTGTAACCAGTTTGCTCAGGGTAGCTGTTTTGCTGGTGTAGAGTGGTGTGGTTTGAGCCAGGCTGTGGGCAGGATGTGCAGTCTGGAGCAGAAGCATTGGGCTGGTCCATCCTCAGGCAGATCTGTGTCCTCCAGGATATGGGGGACTGGCAGGAGCCCCTCATTTAGGAGCTCAGGACACCCTGCAGAGGAGGTCAGGGACAGTCCCTTAGGTGAGCACAGCTACTGTGCTGGAGCAGGGCTGAGGGACTGCTGGGATCGGCAGAGACTAGCCCAGCCATGATGGTCATCCTCATGCTTGTTTCTGGTTTCCCCACCTTCCATTGCCACTGGCTCTTTCCTTTGGCACCCAGAGACATATCTGGGGAGGAGGATTGCCTCTCCTGCTCTGGGTCTAGCACCACAGGGTCAAGAAGGTGCATCTTTATTCAATGACAAATATTTTGAGCAGTCAGTACAGTTTATGCAGAACATGGCACCATCAGAGGGTCCTAATTTTGCTCATTCTCATGAAGATCCCATCTTGGTTTGACACGTGAGTCAGGTCTTGGTGTCACTGCAAGGGAATTGCATCCCTGTAGCTGGGAGCTGGGTCCCTCTCGACACAGTGTCACTGTGCTCAGCGTTGGAGGAGGCTCCAGTTAATAACACCTTATCAGACGCCGTTCAGGAACCTGCAGTGTCTAATATGTCTGTTGCCATGGTAACGGCTCCTGCTTGCACTCGGCATCTCAGAGCTGCCTGGTCGTGCTCCCTCCTTTTCATATCAGCGAGCAGCCGGGCTGGCTGTCCCACAGGACCCCCGCATCCTCCCACCAGCCCTGGTGCAGGGATGGGGGCTGGCAAGGCTGGCTGAGGGGAATGGAGAGCACACCGTGCCCCAGTGCCACACAGGAACAGAGGCTGGGGCTCACACTATCCCCCCACCTCCTGCAGCTTCCCTTCCACAGTGCTGGTGGATGAATGTGGCCAAGTTTGCTCTCCATGGCATCTCAGTTGCTCTGAGCAGGGCCAAGCTCCATCTTTCCCATTACAGCCTCTGCCTGGGCCTGCTCGGCTCCACAGGGCCCCGTAATGAGGGTGAAGTGCAGTTCGCCCGCGCAGGCGATTGACAAGACTGATGGGCTGGAGCTGGGAGAGAGGACGGCTTCCCGAGAGCCTCTGGGAGCAGGAGCTCTCCCTCCTCCCACAGTCTGCTTTATCCTTCTGCACATTCCTGTCCCATCATCTTTGCTGTCAGCTTTCTCTTCCTCAGTTTAGGGCGTCTTCCCAGTGTTCCAGCCCTCTTTCCATCTTTTTCTTTTCTCCCTTGCTTCAGGAGTCATTCCTGCCCATCCCTGCCATCTCACTTCCCCCTCTTGCTGTCTTTACATTTTTTCCCTCTTTCCCATTGTCTTTTCTTATTGCTCTCTCCCTTCTGCTGTCATTCAATTTTTCTCTCTCCCTCCTTCTCGCCCCCTCCCTCTCCCCCCTTTCCCTCTCACTCTCTGTCTCATTCTCCATCTCGGATGAAGGTAATGAAAATAATCGGGCTTCATTAATTCTGAGCCCTGTGAGATGATAGCCATTTGGAGCCATGTTTGCCAATTAGATGGTCTAAATTAGAAGTGACCTTGGTATACTGCCATCGCTTTGCCTCTCGGAGTCTAATGAAGCTTTTCACTCCAGCACCCTCTCTCTCTCTTTGTAATGGAAATTACCTCCTTTGTCTGGTGGGGAACCTTGCCTCCTGTCTGTATTTCCCCTGGTTGCATGGACATGGGGATGTATCTCCTCAGACTCCTTCTAGAGGTTTTCTTTTCAGAGCCACATGATTCCAGCATTTTGGGGCATTTTTGGAGGAACTGTCCCTGCATTTAATGCCTCGATCTGCAGACAGCGCAGGCAGGTGTAGTGTGAGGGAAGCTGGCTGCTCTTGCTGGCCAAGAGTAATTTTTCGGACGTGCCAGCAGTATTTGGGTGTCATATTGGTGGGTCTTGGGCTCCAAGCCTCCAGCCCTGACAACGAGCGGTTCTACAGTCAGTCGTTAAAAATCCAGTAGAGCCAGTGGTGGCAGGAGCTGTGCTTGTTACTGCTGGAGATCGTCTCTGGTGAGGAGTGGGCCCACTGGTCGTTCTCCAGCATGATGACAGGTCTGTAGGTGTCAGGGTGTGTCATCTGCTGAGGATACTGGAGTGAGAGGGAGGCAGGACACGTGGCCCATCAGCCCTTGGGTGCTCTGTAACAGTCCTCCCTGGGCCACCTCATCCATGGAAATGGCCACTGAAGTGGGGTCCCCATGCCTCTCCATGGATCTCATCTTCATAAAGAAATTTTATCTGCTGAAGGGGTCTGAATTTCACCCAAAAGGAAGGGTCCTTGGAAGCAGAGAGACTTGTCAAACAACTTCCCACCCTCTAAGGACCTTCTGTGTGGTAACAGTGGGAGAACCAAGAGGGACCTCAGCTGTCAGAACCACAGGCAATGGTGAGCTCAGGCTGTGCACAGAGGTGGATCTGGGGTGACTGAGACAGGTGCCATGCTGGAAGAGGCTTTGCTGGTGGCTTGTGGGCCAGGAGATGGTGGCTACAGCCGTGCAGTGCATATGGTTTGGTGTTAGACAGAGAAGAACAGCTGTGTGCAGGAGAAGGGAAGGGAAACCACATTTATTGAACTCACAGCTGTAGGGTTGTGTTTTAGTAACGGCTCACACTGACTGACGTGTTGCTGTCGTGAAACGGTGTTGAGGAGACATTTAAACAGGGAAACAGGAATCAAAGGGGGGGGATGCTGAGCTGAGGAGGGATGCCAAGATGATACGCCAGGTATCGCCTGTGCAGGTGAGAGGAAGGTGGAGAGCATTTGACAGCCACACGTGCTAACACAGGCTGTGCTCCAGATAAACACGGTCCTCTTGATCACTGGAACAGTTAATGCCATGAAATACATCTGCAGTACAAAATGCTGTGTCACAGAGCACCGCTCCTGCCTCACCTGCTGGGGGCACTGCACCTTCCTGCCCCGTTGTGCCCCCACTCTTGGGTTATATGAAAAGCAGTCACAGCATGCCAGGCAAGTTCTGCAGGTCCAAGGATACGGGGTGTCCTCAGATAGGTTTGCAGTGTAAAAGGATGAACCCTACAAAAAGGGCAGTCTGGAATTCCATGTCAGTGCAAAGTAATTTGAGACATGCAGCCCATTTGCACTCCTTTTATCTTTGCCACTTGCTCGGGGTTGGTCTATGGGGATGAAGGGGCAGAGGGTCCTGCCCTGGATAAGGGTGTAGGAAAGGGGCAGGAACAGCCCAGATGGATCCAGAGGACCTGACTGAGTCCAGTTGCTGGCCAGTGCCTTGTTTCCAGGGGTTTGCTCCCCAGGGCCAGCCCCTGTGGCTGCACCGCCACAGTTCCCCACATCCATATCCAGAATTTCTAGTTGCCGTGCACTTTTTCCCAAGCTTTTTTTCTGTTTGCCTTTGGGGATTTTGTGCCTGTAGCAATTTAATGTACCACAGCCTTTTTTTTTTCTTCCCACCTCTTTTTTTTTTCCTGTTTTTTTTTTTTCCCCTATGATGGAGGGAGGGTGGAAGGAAGGGAAGGAATGGTAGCTGTGGAGATGCAGGTAGATAAAGGTAATTACTTAAACACATATAGGGCAGGACTTAGTGGTTTGGAGCCCCAGATTAAGATGCAGAGGAGCATGTGAGGTTGATGATTATATTTCGGGGAGAGTTAATTGACGGAAGGTGAAGGCAGACAAAGAACCGCTGCTTACTGCCTTCTTGAATCCCAATCAGGAATTATGATTAAAGACGCGGCGAGACAACAGAGGCCTGATGAATTGGTGTCTTTTTTTTTTCTTTTTTGCCGTCATTCACACTTGATTGACTTCAACCTTTCAAGTGCAAAAGTCTCTCTTTTCCATTATTATTCATAGCCATCTGAGTTTTTCTAATTAAAGTGTATGAAAACAATTACTGATCCGTCGTACTGAGCATGGTGGTGGGGACGGCTGCCGTACTGTAACGCCTATGAAAAGCCACAGCTCTATAATGATGTGCAGCTGAGGTGTTAGATAATTTTATTCTTTTTCTACTCTGTTGGGGTTTTTTTTAATTTCTCATGATTTATTTTTCATAATTCCTAAAGATCCTAGGAAAGCGCTCTCCCTGCTGCTAAAGCTGAGAGGAACGGTTTCTTCTTGCCTTCCCTCCTTGGCCTCCCTGCTCGTCCCCCTCCTCCGAGCCCAGCTACTGGGAATTAACCAGTGACCTTTCACGTCTCCCAACCCACCACCCGCAGCCATCAGACACTCCTGCTTAGAGTAAAAGGTGGAATGAGTTTGGTGTGCTCAGCTTCCCTCCTGGGATGTGTCAGCTGCCTTCCTTGCTGGCATTCATGGGACCCAGCACTCACCTCCACGTACCAGCTGTCCTAGGAATGGGAGGGAGCTCCACACCCCTCATGTCTCAGGTCAAGGTTCTGCAGCCATTCCTGTGCCATCATTTCATCCTGAGATTCTCCAGCTTCAGCTTCACCACAGGCATGCTCCCATCTCCTGCAGTTCAGCCAGAGCCCTGTGGGCCTTGGCTGTGCAGAAAGCCACTGCATGCACTCTTTCTCTCCTGAAATCCAGGGCTCAGATGCCCTCTCTGTGTCTAGCAGAAGGATAGAGAGGCTTGTTTTGCCAGGAAACACAGTTGTCCAGGAGTGTTTAGTTGTGCCTCACCTTCCTAGCAGCAGGAGGCTGGGAGCAGAAGCATCACAGGCATCACCAGGAGTACCTGGTGAAAGGGGAGCGCTCCCTGGGTGTCAGTGGGGTAGCATGGGCAGCTGCTTGAGGTTGTAGAGGTGTCTTCACTTGCCACAGGCATTGACCAGCACTGACAGCCGTGTGCTGGAACATAAATGGATGGTGATGGGGGCACAGGTCTGTCTGTCCAGGTGCTGTGAGGCAGTGTTTCAGCAGTGTAAGTCACTGGCTCTGGACATTCAGAAGGACATTCGTTGTCCTGTGTCTGATGCCAGCCATGTGCAGGCTGCTAGCAAGGTGGTTTGTGGATCTGTGTGTGACCAGGTACATCCAAAGAAACGGTTTTCCAGAACGGGATGAGTGTGTGCACTTGGCTCTTCCAGAGGGCCTCTCCAGATGAGCCATGCAGACTCTACAGCTCTTTAGAAGTGTGGGTGTTCCCACACCAAAACCAGCACTGTACTGGTTTTACTGGTGCAGGATCTAGGCAAAGACTTGAAGAGGGGCGAAGGGAACGCATAATTCAGAGCAAGGAAAGGGTTACCAAAAGCTTTTCATTTCAAAATTTGCTTTCTTTTTAGTCCTTCCGTATTCATCCTTTCCTTTGTCACCTCTCTCCGTATTTGTACTTCTCTTTCTCATGCGCCTCCTTTCCCTGCATCGATACACTTTGAAAACAGTGCTGCAATGCTCCCTGGTTCAAGATTACAGCGTACTTTACGAGGTATGATTTAATTAGGGGCCTTATTATGTTTTCAGCAGCTTAAGGTGGGCCTTTCAACTTATCTACCTAATTGGTTGCACAAGAAGTTTCACAGCCCATGACAAAACATTGTCAGTGATCAAAGTCTGAATTCTACATAAAGGAAAAATATTAATAATAAGATTATTCTTCAAGTGTGCACTGCTAATTATGTCCAAAATGTAACTGTAGAAACACTTTTGACTGATGTGAGCTTTGTCTAATAAATACAAGTCTTCAGTGAGCTGTGAAGTGACACCTCTGACTTCATAATACCAATGTCTAGTTTTGCCACTGAAGATGTTTAAAATATTTTCCTGTGTTTTTCTTCTCCCCATGCCCTTTCCCCCTGTCTCCAGGTGACAACCCCTGAGGTGATGATGCCCAGCAGCATGTTCCTCCCAGCAGCTGCTCCAGAGAAGGATGGTAACTCAGGCACCGAGGAGCTGGGGAAGCAGCCTGGTGAGTGCAGATCAGTGAGGTCCATGGTCCCACCACTCCCCCAGTTATATCACCTGGTTAGGGACCAGTTTCATTCCTGTTGATCCTAGCTTTGGTAGGACCAAGACTCAAATACTATGTTCAGTTTGATGAACCTTCTTTTTTGAAAATAGGCAGGAACAGTAAAGACAGTGATGGCAGAGTGGCCTTCACTTGAAAGGGAGAATTGAAGGTGATAAATGCACTAAGGGATGCGTGTGTGTGAATCATTTCCAGATATTCGAAGTGTGCAAGGAAGTAAATTGTGTAGGTTTATGCAATGGGCCATGATGAGGGTAATGGGCTGGTATTGAAATAAATGAATGAAGATAGAGGAGAAATGTTAGAAATACTCATTGTCTTGGAGAGAAAAAAAGATGTATTCAGGACTGAAAGGGAGTGTTCATCCACCCTGGTGTGCTGGTGTAATTTTGGGGTTTGCTCTAATTCTGTTTTCACAGAGATCTCTGAGGACACAGGGAAGAACCTTTTGCCATCAGACAGTGCAGAGCACAGCGGGGACCCCAAGCCTGCTCCAGCTGATCCGAGCGCTGCCCGGGAGGACTCTGGCTTCCTGTGCTGGAAGAAGGGCTGCAGCCAGGTGTTCAAGAGCTCGGCAGCCCTGCAGACACACTTCAACGACGTCCACGCCAAGCGGCCTCAGCTGCCGGTCTCTGACCGCCACGTCTACAAGTACCGCTGCAACCAGTGCAGCCTGGCCTTCAAAACCATTGAGAAGCTGCAGCTCCACTCCCAGTACCACGTCATCCGGGCAGCCACCATGTGCTGCCTCTGTCAGCGCAGCTTCCGAACCTTCCAGGCCCTGAAGAAGCACCTGGAAACCAGCCACCTAGAGCTGAGCGAGGCCGACATTCAGCAGCTGTATGGTGGTCTCTTGGTCAACGGAGACCTCCTTGCTATGGGTGACCCTTCACTTGCAGAGGACCACACAATAATAGTTGAGGAAGATAAGGAGGAGGAGAGCGACCTGGAAGATAAGCAGAGCCCGACAGGCAGCGATTCTGGTTCCGTGCAGGAGGACTCTGGCTCAGAACCAAAAAGGGCCTTACCCTTCAGGAAGGGCCCTAACTTCACTATGGAGAAATTCCTAGATCCGTCTCGCCCATACAAGTGCACAGTCTGCAAGGAATCCTTCACACAGAAGAACATTCTCCTGGTCCATTACAATTCTGTTTCTCATCTGCATAAACTGAAACGAGCCCTCCAAGAGTCTGCTACTGGGCAGCCTGAGCCAACCAGCAGCCCAGACAACAAACCTTTCAAGTGTAACACCTGCAACGTGGCCTACAGCCAGAGCTCAACCCTGGAGATCCACATGAGGTCTGTCCTGCACCAGACCAAGGCTCGCGCGGCCAAGCTGGAGGCGGCAGGCAGCAGCAGCAATGGGGCTGGCAACGGCAGCAGCAGCGGCCTCTCCTTGGGTTCATCCACACCGAGCCCCGTGAGTGCCAGCAACAGCAATGCTTTTGCAACCACCAGCACGAGCACTTCAGGCACCACTCCCATTCCCAGCCTGCTCAACCAGGTGTCCAGCGACAGCGTGGGAATTCCTCCGTTGGGTAACCCTGTAAGCACTAACATCTCCTCCCCTTCGGAGCCCAAAGAGGTGAACCGCAAGAAACTGGCAGACATGATTGCATCCAGGCAGCAGCAGCAGCAGCAGCAGCAGCAGCAACAGCAGCAACAAGCCCAAACCTTGGCACAGGCACAGGCACAGGTCCAGGCCCACCTGCAGCAGGAGCTGCAGCAGCAAGCTGCTCTCCTGCAGTCCCAGCTCTTCAACCCAGCACTTTTGCCGCACTTTCCGATGACCACCGAGACCCTTCTGCAGCTGCAGCAGCAGCAGCATCTTCTGTTCCCATTCTACATCCCCAGTGCCGAGTTCCAGCTCAATCCAGAAGTCAGCTTGCCTGTCACCAGCGGTGCACTGACATTGACTGGGACGGGTCCAACTTTGCTGGAGGACCTGAAGGCACAAGTTCAGCTCCCTCAGCAGAGCCATCCACAGCTCTTGCAGCAGCAGCAAGGTCAGCTGTCATTATCACAACCCCACTCCGTCCTGTTACAGCAGAGCCAGCACCCAGAGAAGAAGAATAAATCCATAGTGAAGGAGAAAGATAAAGAAACCCCACGGGAAAGGGAAAGCGCAGAAAGGGGAGACAATAATGTAACATTGAAGGAGTCTCTGCCTGATAACTTAAAGCTCAAAGAGAAGAAGGACTTTGTGCCAGGCAGCAGTTCAGAGCCCTCCATCCTGCCCCCACGGATCGCCTCTGATGCAAGGGGCAACGCCACCAAAGCCTTGCTGGAAAACTTTGGCTTTGAGCTTGTCATTCAGTACAACGAGAACAAGCAGAAAGTGCAGAAGAAAAACGGGAAGACAGACCAAGGTGAGAACTTGGAAAAGCTGGAGTGCGATACGTGCGGCAAGTTATTCTCAAACATCCTCATCCTGAAGAGCCACCAAGAGCACGTTCACCAACATTACTTTCCCTTTAAGCAGTTGGAGAAATTTGCCAAACAGTACAGAGAACACTACGACAAACTGTACCCACTGCGGCCTCAGACCCCCGAGCCACCACCCCCGCCTCCACCGCCCCCCCCTCCGCTCCCTCCAGCTCCTCCTCAGCCGGCTGCCGCTCCTGCCATCCCTACTTCTGCCCCACCGATTACTTCTCCCACGATTGCACCAGCCCAGCCATCTGTGCCACTCACCCAGCTCTCCATGCCCATGGAGCTCCCCATCTTCTCACCACTCATGATGCAAACCATGCCCCTGCAGACATTACCCGCGCAGCTGCCGCCCCAGCTGGGCCCTGTAGATCCCCTACCCGCCGACTTGGCCCAGTTGTACCAGCATCAGCTGAACCCCAGCCTTCTCCAGCAGCAGCAGAACAAGAGGCCACGGACACGGATCACTGATGACCAGCTCAGAGTCCTTCGGCAGTATTTTGACATTAACAATTCCCCAAGTGAGGAACAGATCAAAGAGATGGCAGACAAATCCGGATTGCCACAGAAAGTGATCAAGCACTGGTTCAGAAACACCCTGTTCAAGGAGCGCCAGCGTAACAAGGACTCCCCATACAACTTCAGCAACCCTCCCATTACTAGCCTGGAAGAGCTAAAGATAGACTCACGGCCTCCTTCTCCAGAGCCTCAAAAGCAGGAGTACTGGGGAAGCAAGCGGTCCTCTCGGACACGCTTTACTGACTACCAGCTCAGAGTCCTGCAGGACTTCTTTGATGCCAATGCTTACCCAAAGGACGATGAATTTGAGCAGCTTTCTAACTTGCTGAACCTCCCCACGCGTGTTATAGTGGTGTGGTTCCAGAATGCCCGTCAGAAAGCTAGGAAAAACTATGAAAATCAGGGAGAAGGCAAAGATGGGGAGCGACGCGAGCTCACAAACGACAGGTACATTAGAACAAGCAACTTGAACTACCAGTGCAAAAAATGCAGTCTGGTCTTTCAGCGCATTTTTGATCTCATTAAACACCAGAAAAAGCTTTGTTACAAAGATGAGGATGAGGATGGACAGGATGATAGCCAGAACGAAGACTCTATGGATGCAATGGAGCTCTTGACTCCAACCAGTTCCTCCTGCAGCACACCAATGCCCTCACAAGCTTACAGCACACCTACATCTTCAGCCAACACAACCTCCTCAGCTTTTCTGCAGCTCACAGCAGAGGCAGACGATTCCTCCACCTTTAGTTCTAAAGTAGAACCTACAGATGAGAAACCAAAGCAGTCTGAACCTCCAAGTACACAGCAAAACCAAACCCAAGAGAAGCAAGTGCAACCAAAGCAAGAGTCTCAGCAGCAACAGGACCAAGGAGAACAAAAGACAAGTTCAGCACACCAAAAGATTTCACAGTTATCCTCCCCCTCCTCACTGCAGCAGCCACCTCCTCCCCCTCAGCCCCCTCAATGCTCCTTGTCACAGTCAAGCCCAAGTCCATCTCAGCTCTCACACCTCTCCCTCAAACCCATTCACACCTCTACCCCTCAGCAGCTGGCAAACCTACCTCCTCAACTGATCCCATACCAGTGTGACCAGTGTAAGCTGGCATTTCCTTCCTTCGAGCATTGGCAGGAGCATCAGCAGCTCCATTTCCTGAGTGCACAGAACCAGTTTATCCACCCCCCATTCCTGGACAGAACGCTGGATATGCCGTTCATGCTTTTTGATCCCAGTAATCCACTACTGGCGAGCCAGCTGCTGTCTGGAACGTTACCACAGATTCCAGCAAGCTCGGCCACCTCACCGTCAACTCCAACATCCACCATGAACACGCTGAAGAGAAAGCTGGAGGAAAAGGCCAGCGCAAGCCCTGGAGAGAATGACAGTGGGACTGGGGGAGAAGAACCCCAAAGGGATAAACGTCTAAGGACAACCATTACCCCCGAGCAGCTAGAAATTCTGTACCAGAAATATTTGCTCGACTCCAACCCTACACGGAAGATGCTGGATCACATTGCGCATGAAGTGGGCTTGAAGAAGCGGGTGGTGCAGGTTTGGTTCCAGAACACCCGTGCACGGGAGAGGAAAGGGCAGTTCAGAGCTGTGGGGCCGGCCCAAGCCCACAGAAGGTGTCCCTTCTGCCGAGCTCTCTTTAAAGCAAAGACAGCTCTGGAAGCTCATATTCGATCCCGGCACTGGCACGAAGCCAAGCGAGCTGGGTACAACCTGACACTGTCTGCTATGCTTCTGGACTGCGATGGGGGACTTCAGATGAAGGGAGACATCTTTGATGGAGCCAGCTTTTCCCATATGCCACCAACTAGCAGTGACGGACAGAGTGTTCCCCTCTCCCCGGTGAACAAGAGCATGGAACTGTCACCTCGAACTCTGCTGAGTCCGTCCTCCATTAAGGTGGAAGGGATTGAAGACTTCGAGAGTCCATCCATGTCCTCAGTCAATCTGAGCTTTGACCAGACAAAGCTGGACAACGATGACTGCTCTTCTGTCAACACCGCGATCACGGACACCACCACAGGAGACGAAGGCAATGCAGACAACGATAGTGCAACAGGGATTGCAACCGAAACCAAATCCACATCGGGACCCAGTGAAGGTCTGACAAAAGCTGCCATGATAGCAATGTCTGAATACGAAGATCGTCTGTCTTCTGGCCTGGTCAGCCCAGCTCCCAGCTTTTACAGCAAAGAGTACGACAATGAAGGTACTGTGGACTACAGTGAAACCTCCAGCCTTGCAGACCCCTGCTCGCCCAGCCCTGGCGCAAGTGGTTCAGCCAGCAAGTCTGGCGAGAGCGGGGACCGGCCCGGACAGAAACGCTTTCGCACTCAGATGACTAATCTCCAGCTCAAGGTTCTTAAGTCATGCTTTAATGACTACAGGACACCAACCATGCTGGAGTGTGAGGTCCTGGGCAATGACATTGGACTGCCAAAGAGAGTTGTTCAGGTCTGGTTCCAGAATGCAAGGGCAAAGGAGAAGAAGTCAAAACTCAGCATGGCCAAGCATTTTGGTATAAACCAAACAAGTTACGAGGGACCCAAAACAGAGTGCACTTTGTGTGGCATCAAGTACAGCGCTCGGCTGTCTGTACGTGACCATATCTTCTCTCAACAGCATATCTCCAAAGTTAAAGAAACCATTGGAAGCCAGTTGGATAAGGAAAAGGAGTATTTCGACCCAGCTACTGTACGTCAGTTGATGGCTCAGCAGGAGCTGGACCGGATCAAAAAAGCCAATGAGGTTCTTGGTCTGGCAGCTCAACAGCAGGGCATGTTTGACAACACCCCCCTGCAAGCTCTGAACCTTCCTGCTGCGTACCCAGCGCTCCAGGGCATCCCTCCAGTCTTACTCCCAGGCCTCAACAGCCCATCCTTACCCAGCTTCACTCCATCCAACACAGGTGGGTACAAGTGTTATCCTGCTCAGGCACACTTGGCACATCTCTAGCACAAGCAGTCGTTCCTTCGGAATGACTGATAACAAGATTCCCAGACCATTAGTCCAGCATGTTGACTTCATGAATAAGCAGCAGGTATTTTATCTTTAATTCCTCAACTCAGGTTTTCTAGCAAAAGTCTGAACTAGAGCAATGTCTAGACATGCTGCATGTCTCTATGTGTTACCACAGACTAGAAATCCTGAAACACCTCCAAGGAAGTGGAGAACAGAGGATTTATCCAACGGAACAGGACTAATGTGCTGAACACATTGTTCATTATTCGTTTCCTTTTGATATTAAATTAGGTTTATGTGGTCCCATCCCAGGTGTTCAAAAGTCCAAACTCTTTCTAGGGAAAGCTATGGTGTGCCTGGTAGCATTGGTGACAGACCTGCGGAGCATTTTTATGTGTCCCTGTGGTGACCTCCAGGACAAATCCCAGTGCAGCTGAGGATGGGGTTTGAGTGATGGGTGGCCATGACCTGAAAGTACCTTCTCAACAAACAACAGTGTGGTTGAGGGTCAAATCTAGTTTGTATTTTAATAAGATTTTTTGTAACAATGCTACCTAAAAATGAAATTTGGCATAGTCCTTTGGGTGGCCTAATCTCAAATAGTGGACTTTACCTTTTGAGGATGCTCTTTTCCCTTGTTCCTGGTGGATAGGTGGAAAGTCTAAACCATGTAGCAAACACTGGCAGTGGAAGGTGCAGGTCAGTTACCAGCAGTGACCTAGAAAACGTGATCCAAAGGCCTTGTTTCACTGTGTGTCTGAAGGGCCCCTGCGCATGGCGAGGATTTTCATGCCACCCGTCTGTTCTCACCACAGATCTTATTTCAGAGCACTCGGACAGGAGCATCTCTTCAGCGAATCATATTGTCACCCAATTGCAGGTTGCTCTGCACTGTTTTCTTAATGCCCTAAATTTATAATAACAACTAAAATTACTTTTTTGCACTTCAGTCTGTATTGTTGCTTTTGTTTTTCTCTGAAGCACAGGATGTGTCCTGAGGAGATGGGATTGCATCTGATGAATCTTAAACGCTGTCAGCGACTGCCTAGACAGGACTGAGCTGTTTAGAAAGTCAAACAGACTATTTGTGTCCTTTAGATAAAGCTCCAAAGGTCAGGCTATGGCAGCTCCGGGCCTGTCAGAGCAGATAAGGCCATGCATCCAAGAACACTATGAATTACCTGCTGCTCCTGCACTTGAACCTCTGAGGAACGTTCAGCTGGGGAACATCCATTTCAATGGTGTCCATCCATAATGTGCCCTTGTCCGAGATTTCTGGGGCCGCTGTGTGGAGCCTCACTCTGTACCTGTCCTGCTGTCACAGATCACTGTAGTCTCAGCACCATGTCAGGAGCAGACACAGGTTTCAGAAGGGTTTAGATCAGACATGACTGAACCGTCCCAGCTCCAGCTGCCTTCCTCCCAAACCTCCTGTGGCTCCTTGGAGGTACAACCTAAAATAAAAGTGGCCATGCCTCCACGGCTGGTTCCAGGCTCTGCCACTGGTCCTGCTCAGGCTGTTCCCTGAGCAGCCCCCGCCACAGCGGTGAGATTCAGGTTCGTCAGGGAAAGGTTGGCTTTTACTCATGGGTTTTGCAGCAGGTGGATCCTGGAGCAGGTTCCTGCTCCAGAGCTGGGAGCAAACAAGGCCGTGCCAGCAGGACTTTGGAGCTTTGTTTCTGGGGTTGGTTTTTTTCCCCAAACGGCATTGAGGGACTTTCCAAGCAAAACGTTCCTCTTTAGGAGCACGTTTGGCAGCTGCAGCAGCTGTGACTAATGGAGGTGACTCCGGGAGCTGCACACGTCTTGCCCCTAACCACCGTCAGCTGTGAGAGCAGAAATAGGCACCAGGGACAGTGTTGTTACTGGCTATTCTTGCTGTTGGAAAGAGGGACAGGGTTCTCATTCCACCATTAATCCATCTCCTTAATGAGGAAGCATCACAGTGCTTTTAATTCCACCCAAAACACAATGCTCGTGCCCAGGGGGAATGTCTGAACACCACATAAACTCTGGAATTGCTCAGAAGCTGAGTGCCCAGACAGTCTGACATTGGAAGGGGTTGCATCAGAGGTTTATGGATTCACGAACACCAGTCTAATAAGGACAAAATAACTCTGGTCTAGCCTGTTCAGTCCCCAGTTGCCATGACCAGGACTTCCCAGTCTGTGGGGGTGTGGCAATACTGAGCGTTCCCGCCCTTTCGTGTAGAATCATTAGAGCAGATCCTGACATCAGTGTTAATCGTTTGGGAATTTCAGAGGAGTCAGTAGAACATCAGCTGTGCTGGGCATCCCAGGCACTGGTGGGTGTCCCCATCAGAGACACTGCAGTCAGTGCCACTGGGCAGCGCAGCCAAGGCAGCCGCAGGCGGTGGGGGCCGAGGGGGCACGTCCCCATGGCACAGGGCCTGTGGAGCGGGACAGGAACCATTCTTCAGGGCGGGTGGGAGCAGGGATGGGCTCTCCAACCTGCGCTGTGGCAACGGAGCAGCTTGAGCTGGTTGGTGCCCTCATGCAGCGGAGACGGATGCTCTGGAGTGGCTGTGGGGTGGCCTGGGGTCACCCTCGTGGTTTCTGCCTGCCCAGAATTCAGTGACTTCTCACCTTTCTTTCTCCCTCTTGCAGCTTTAACTTCTCCCAAACCCAACCTGATGGGCCTGCCCAGCACAAGCGTCCCTTCACCTGGCCTCCCCACCTCTGGATTACCAAATAAGCAGCCCCCGGCCGCGCTGAGCTCGCCCACCCCGGCACAAGCCACAGCAGCCGTGGCCCCACAGCAACCTCCGGCGACGACCCCACAGCCACAGCCGCAGCAGGCGCCCCCACCGCAGCGCAAGGAGAAGGAGAGCGAGAAGGCAAAAGAGAAGGAGAAGGCACCGAAGGGGAAGGGGGACCCCCTGCCAGGGCCCAAGAAGGAGAAGGGGGAGGCGCCGGCGGGTGCCCTTGCAGCCCCACTGCCTGCCATGGAGTACGCGGTGGAACCCACCCAGCTCCAGGCGCTGCAGGCCGCCCTGAATTCAGACCCCACCACCTTGCTGACGAGCCAGTTCCTTCCCTACTTCGTCCCCGGCTTTTCCCCTTACTACGCCCCGCAGATCCCTGGCGCCCTGCAGAGCGGGTACCTGCAGCCCATGTACGGGATGGAGGGGCTGTTCCCCTACAGCCCCGCGCTGTCGCAGGCGCTGCTGGGGCTGTCGCCTGGCTCGCTGCTGCAGCAGTACCAGCAATACCAGCAGAGTCTGCAGGAGGCATTGCAGCAGCAGCAGCGGCAGCAGCAGCAGCAGCAACAGCAGAAAGCGCAGCAGCCCAAAGGAAGCCAAACCCCCGTCCCCACGGGGGCTGCCACCCCGGACAAAGACCCTGCCAAAGAACCCCCCAAGCAAGAGGAGCAGAAGAATGCACCCCGCGAGGTGTCCCCCCTCCTGCCCAAACCCCAAGAAGAGCCCGAAGCAGAAGGCAAGGGCGCGGACTCCCTCTGCGACCCTTTCATCGTCCCGAAGGTGCAGTACAAGCTGGTCTGCCGCAAGTGCCAGGCGTGCTTTGGCGACCAGGAGGCGGCCAGCGACCACCTGAAGTCCCTCTGCTTCTTCGGCCAGTCCGTGGCGAACCTGCATGAGATGGTGCTTCACGTGCCCACCGGCAGCGGCCAGGGCAGCGGCTCGTACCAGTGCGTGGCGTGCGAGAGCACGGTGTGTGGGGACGAAGCCCTCAGTCAGCATCTCGAGTCAGCCCCGCACAAACACCGAACAATCACAAGAGCAGCAAGAAACGCCAAAGAGCACCCCAGTCTATTACCTCACTCTGCCTGCCCCCCCGACCCCAGCACCGCATCTACCTCGCAGTCGGCCGCTCACTCAAACGACAGCCCCCCGCCCCCCCGGCCCCCCCCGGCTTCCCCCCACGCCTCCAGAAAGCCCTGGCCCCCGGCAGCCTCCCGTGCCCCGCCGGGGAAGCCGCCACCACCGCCTTTCCCTCCTCTCTCCTCATCTTCAACGGTTACCTCAAGTTCATGCAGCACCTCAGGGGTTCAGCCCTCGATGCCAACAGACGACTATTCGGAGGAGTCTGACACGGATCTTAGCCAAAAGTCAGATGGACCGGCGAGCCCGGCGGAGGGGCCCCGGGACCCCGGCTGCCCTAAGGACAGTGGTCTAGCTAGCGTAGGAATGGACACCTTCAGATTGTAAGCTTTGAAGATGAACAATGAAAATGAATTTAAATAAAAAAGTTAATAACAAACCAATTTCAAAAATAGACTAACTGCAATTCCAAAGCTTCTAACCAAAAAAAAAAAGAAAAAAGAAAAAAAGAAAAAACGTGGGTTGTTTTCCCATATAACGATGCCGGTGGGTTTTACATTTCTTTTTTCCTTTCCTTTTAATAAAATAAAACTTTGAAAAAGAAAAAAAAAAAAATCTGTTACATTTGTCCTCTCGAAGGTACTGTTGGTCTGGGAGACGAAGGCCCGTGCTGCCTCCTCGCGCCTGCGGAGCTCGCGCCCCTGTACATTGCCCCTGTCCGATCCCCCGTCAATAGCACAGCAGAGCCCGGCAGCGCTGTATGGGAAAGCAGCCCACCTGGAGACAGTTTTAAATTTCTTGCTATCTTAGCATTCAGATACCAATGGCTTGCTAAAAGAAAAAAGAAATGTAATGTCTTTTTATTCTCAGGTCAATCGCTCACACTTTGTTCTGTTTTCAGAATCATTGTTTTATATATATATATATATATATATAAAATTTCTTTCATTTGTTTTGGGGTTTTTGTTTTGTTTTGTTTTTGTTCCAGAAAAGGATTTTTTTTTCTTTTTTTTTTTTTTTTGTTAATTTAAAATGGGCAGAAAGTATTCAAGAGAAAAACAATGTGAACTGCTTTAGCTTTTCGGGGATTTTAAGGGTAGCTTTTCTGCTGAAGCCAATTCCAAGGGGAAAAGTTAAGCACTCCCACTTTTCAGAAAAAAAAAAACCCACACAGAGAGTGTTGAGGACTCGGAGCTTAAAAAAAAAAAAGTTTTAAAACAACTGACTTTCTGTATTTATGATAGATATGACCATTTTTGGTGTTGAGTAGATTGTTGCATTGGAAATGAACTGAAGCAGTATGGTAGATTTAAAAGAAAAAACCCTTTTGTGTACATTTAGCTTTTGTATGGTCCAGCTGACGGCTTCTCATTTGATGTTGTCTTGTTCATTCCTAGCCAGATAGATTGCGATCCATCGACTCGCCTGAGCTTTTCTCCCCTTTGTACCTTTATCCCCATCCCCATCCTGTAATCTTCCACTTATGGTCGCTACCTTCATTTCTTAGAGGGTGGTTGCATAATTATTTTATAAAAACTAAAGAAAGAAGTTCAAAGGGTTTTGGGGGTCAGTAGGATCCCTTGCAGAATATTTTTTGTTGGGGGTTTGAAACTTTTTAAGGCGTATACATACGATTTACCTATGTCTGTTACCCTTGTGCACTTATTTTGTTCTTATTTTCCATTTCTCTTTTTTTTTTTTCTCTTCCCCTCTTCCTTTCCTCATTTTGTAAATGCTTCAAAGACTCTGTTCCTGACCTCTGAGCATCGGTTCTGTTTGTGTAATTAGGCTGCACTCTTGTTCCTTCTTTTGAAAAAAAAAAAAAAAGGTTTTGTTACATTTTTTTTCTCTAAAGAAAATTCATGCTTTAAATAAAAATCCAAAGACATACCCTTCACCACTGGTGCAGAATGAGCAAAAAGGATTCTTTTTACTTGAGAATTTGTTTCTGATTTAAACAAACAAGTCTAAGTTTAAATAAAGAATAAAAAAAGTACCCAGGTTGTTATCTGTGCTTCTTCTGCAAGCAGAGAGACAACTCTTAGTGAGCACCCAGCGCACCCCTGGCAGGTTTCTCTTTCCAAGTTCTCTCCATGGCAGCAGCGGGTGCCAGGCTCAGGGATGCCCAGAGCCCCCTGGCCTCCTCTGGGCACCCGGGCACACCTCGGCCCAGACTTTGAAAGGAAAACTTTGTGCTGCTAAAATGTAGATTTTGGAGATGTAGATGCTTTGCTGTTCCCTTCCGTAACCAAATGCCAACAGAAAAAACCTCCTTCTCCCCCCCGTTTCCTCTGCCCTCGAAAGCGCAAAAGCCTTCTCCCACCATCGTCATCCTCCTCCTGCTTCAAAAGGGAACTTGGAAGACTGTGAATGCAGGTTCCTCCCACCGCCTCCAGCCGCTCCTCCCCGGGCCGAAGCCACTCGCTGCCTCCACGAGAGATTGGAGCATCCGAGAGACGAGCGCGGGTTTCTAGCGGGACACTTATATTTTTATGGAATTTTGGTTTTAGTTCGATGAAAGACTAGATCCTGAACAGTTGTACATATTTCTAGGGTAATGCACATATTCCTTTTTTAATTGTTTTTTAAGTAGTCGATACTAAAGCGCGAACCACCGGATGTTCCTCCCAGGACCCAGCTGTAGCACAAGGTGTCAAAACCGGAACCACGTACCCACGGAGCATTTGCTGTTTTAACAAACTGTTTTCTTTAACAGAAGTTCTTGTATTTCTCCCCGTGTTTGAGATGAACATTTTTTAAATTCTAAAGTTGTACAGTTTTTTGTTTTCCATTATTTTATCTTGTTTGTAATTCTATGAAATATATATATATATATTTTTTGCCATTTAACTGTTGTATGTTACTCTGTCTGTATCATATAGAAATTTTTTTGTTTGTTTTGTTTTGGATTCTCTCTGTGATGCCAGTTCCCAGTTTAACACGAGCTTTATCTGTCCAATTCCTCAAGGTCTCTTTTGGAAATCCTTTTGTTTTGTCTTGTTTCGGTTTTTTAATTATATTGCTTGGTCATAGTGCAATTTCTCTCTCCTCCTTCCCACCCACTAAAAAGTTTTATAAATTCATTTTCTTGTATTTTTTCTAAATGTTTCTAGAGACTTTTCAGTGCGAGGTTGCCTCCTCCCCTTGCCTGGGGCCAATGAGGGGACCTCATGGCCCCGCTGGGATCCCCAGCCCTGCCAGCGCCGGCCTCGTGCTCGCAGAGCCCCAACACCTGCCCCGGGGGGCTGCGGGAGCGACGTCAGCACGCGGGAACCCCTGCGTGACCCCGAGCCCACGCGTGGCCTTCCCAGCGAGCAACAGAGAGGGGCCGGGCTGGGCATGAGGAAAACACTTCAAACTTAGCATTGAGCGGGTTTCTTTTTTATTTTTAATAAAAAGCTTTTTTAAGTGGTGAAGATGGCCAAAGTTTCATACAATTGAGAATAAAGAGAGGCGTCAGGGGTGTGTGGGGCCGCCCGGGGCTGGCAGGGGACAAGGGGGGCGGACACAGCCGGCACGCTCGCTGAAATATATTTTGCTTTAAGAAAAAATTAAACTTTTAAATGGAAGCAGAAATTGGGGTTGGTTGGTTGGTTGGTTGGTTGGTCGGTTGGTTGGTTGGTTGGTCGGTCAATTGGTCGGCACTGATACTGCCCACTGTGAAACAAAGCTTTGACTATTTTTTCGTTTTTATTTGGGGGGGCAAGTTTGGGTAGAACAGAAAGCATAAATGAGGTGAAGAGGGTTATGAACAGCCTTTGCAATGTACAAAAACTAGAGCAAGTGAAACCAAAAATGATGTTCTTGGTGTTTTTCTATACTGTAGTCTTGTTAGCTTTTTTGTTACTGTAACAATGCTGATCTCGAACTGTACCAAAATACATGAGACTGACAGAAACAAACCACATGGAACTTTCAAAACTTTAAAAAACTGTCACAAAAGACTTTGTTGTCATAGTTGAGTTGACTGTAGATGGTAATTGAATATACTCCTTTGGAACTATTTCATCACGTATGTTTCCTGCTCATTGTGATACATTAAAAAAAAATGAGCAAAAGCTCTCGTCTCGATGTCCCGCGTGCGCGGTGCCGGGTCCGTGTCGGGTGGGTGTGTGCCACGTGGCACGGTGTGACATGGCATGGCTCGGCTCAGCGGGGCACACGCACTGCCCCACGCAGGTGGGCACCGCCACAGAGCCGTGTGTCTGCACACGTGTCCTCGTGCACCGCTGGTGTGCACACACCAGCACACGTGTGTCCGTGTCCCTGCCCACGTGGGTGTCCAGGTGCCCATCAGGGTGACAGCGTCTGGGCTGATGTTGCACATTCCCGTTCCAGTGGAAGCAATGAGCCAAGTGGCGCCATCCATACTGTGGCTTTGGGATGCTCTGCATGTGTAAAGGACGTTACAAGTGCAGTTAATTTTATGAAATGATTGCAGAAGGATTCTGGGCACGGTGCTGTAATGAATGGTTCAAGGGAAAGCGCAATGCCTTCATGGTCATCCTGAAACCTGTAAACTAAAATTACATCAGTTCCCTTCTGCTGATAAACCAAAAGAAGATGGAGGTAAGTAGGCAAATGGTGACTCCTTGCACTCCCTCTACAGCAGGGAGGGAGCCCACAGGAACTGCTGAGTGTTCAGTGCACAGTTCTCTTGCCAAAAATTGCCCCTTGCAGCAGAAAATGCCTGAAATTCATTAATAGGGACCACATCCATCCAAAAGGAGTCAGAGGGGCCACCACTCATCTCTAATTTATAACTGCGGCAGTAAATAATTTACATCCACCATGGCAGGTGAGGCGAGTGTCTGCCCAGTGTGGGTGTCCTCAGTGCTGCCACCAGGACAGCGAGAGGCTTCCTCCCCCACCACGGGAGTAGGGACTGAGCTCCGCAGTGTCCAGCAGAGCAGAGGGCATGGGGAGGAAATCTAGCAGCTCCCCAGGGTGCGGAGTGTTCTTTGGTTAACACTTGTTCTGACTGAACCTCCACAAGCCATGAATTACAAAGTCAAGTGGGTCAAAATCACCAAGCCCCCCATGACTCCAGATGCTCTGGCATACCCAACCCAGCCCCTGCCCAGGAGCAGCCTCAAAAAGGGAGACCCTGTCCTGCGGGTGACCAGGGTGGCAGGGGCAAGTACACCTGGACATGCTGCGGCTCAAGGACTCCAAAACTCACTTCTGGCCAGGCTGCCCAGTCCAGTCCCTGGCTTGGGCACTGTTCTTCTGGCATGAGCCTAAACACACTGGGATCTGGATTGTCTCTCAGCCGGATGGGTTTTTTTTTAATGGGAAAACTCCATCCTGCCTTTTCCACAGGTGGACGGGACTGCAATGGTAACGGGGTCACCAGCGTGACCCTCCCACCACCAGTGTTTGCACTGCACTGCGTTAACGTCACTGCTGTTCCTAGACCAGCCGTTTTGTAAGTTGATTATATAACGTTGCTATTTATTCCTGGGTTGAATTCCAGTGTAAAACAGCCATGCTTGAGGAAGTGCCTCGTTAATGTTCAGGAAGGTGTAAATGGCCTCGAGTAGCTGCACAATCTGCAAACTAAAAACCTCTGCGTGAGCCTCCTGCTCAGAGCAGCCCATCCATGGGAATTGTGCAAACCTCTGACAGGAATAAAAAGGTTTTTCCATGCTGTGATTCTGGTAAGAGGAAGCTGGGAGTCATTTTTAATGACCTTTCATTGCCATCACCTCAAAGAGACTCAGCTCTCACTAGTGTACTCTTACAGACCAAAAAAATGCATATTTATACAACCAGAGCAGGACCTGCCTGGAGCAGCATTTCTGCCCGGAAGGTCCCGGGGAGCTCGGCCCTGGCACAGCACAGAGGCTGCAGCAATGTCGCTCCTGCAGCTGGGTCCCCGCTGAGCCAGGCAGGGTCCCACACTCACACCTTGACTAAACGGTATTGGGAGGCTGCTGAGAGCTAACACAGACAGATGTGATGGGAAACTGCCACCAGGCCCGGGCTCTGCCAGCAGTGGCAAAGGGTTAACTCCATCAGCGCTTAAACACCAATGTGGAGCCGGTTCTCTCCTCCAAGCTCGTTAACAAGGTACACCTGATGATCTAAAGCACTAGAGAGTCATTTTAATTAACGCTCTGCCAGAGGGGATGTGGTGAAGACACTGATTTCACTCCAATGACTTTCTATTTTGGTGTATTGCAGAATCGGTGTGTTAGTCCCCGGGCTGATGTGAGCTAATCCAGCCACCACTGCATGGGCACAGCCACCACTCAGCTCTGCGGGGCAGCTCAGCGTCAAGCGCTGGCACCATCCATGGGTCAAGGTCGCAGCCCCTCAGAGGGCCGTGTGGGGCTGGCTCCAGTGCCTCATCCCCAGCAGGACCCGGCTGGTTGTCCCCAAACCACCGGCAGGGCACAGGTGGCAACAGGTTGGCAGTACCACAGAAATGACAGACACAGCCCTGCGGCCACGGGGGCCCTTCCTCACAGGACCACGGGGCTGAGGGCACCCGTCTCTGCCCACTGTCTCACCCCAAGGGATGGCGCCGCCCGAGCCATGAAGGAGCCTCAGCCAACAGAGCTCCGGGTCTTCCATGGCCTCTGCGGTGATGGAGGAGAGACTTCACGCTGGGCCCCAGAGAACAGACAGCGGTACCTATAAATGGTATTGTGCTGTTGGTTAGATGGGAGCATGATGTTACTTAATTAATGTTTTAATACCCTAGGCATCTTCTGTGCCGTATAATTCATATCGATTCGGCTGTGAGCATGTTCAGTTAAAAAGACTCTCTTTCCTAAGCAAACTTTCAATTATATTGAATTGTCACAGCAAAAAAGGGTCTTTTCTCAGCATGGGGGAGGGGGGCTCTGTGCCAAACCGCTGCTGGCCAGGATGGGCACACACGTGCTCACGTATACACGTGTACACACACACATGTGCACACGTGCTGCACACATACACACGTGCACACGCACGGTGCCCACACCCTCCTGCCCCAGCACTTCCACCCTCTCTGAGCCACCAGTGCCACCCCAGCCACCAGTGCCACCCCCAGGCTGTGGTGGTGGGTCAGTGGGGTTGGCCCCTGCTGCAGCCAAGGCACAGGGCTGGGCACACCAGGGAGGTCAAGGGAGGCCAATGCCAAATCAGAATTGGCAGAAAATTATCATTAGGGCAGAGGGAAGGCAAAGCTCCTCTTCCCCCACAATCACGTTGATGTGGTGTGGAATACTGAGTGTTTTGGCAGAGCAGCACCTGTTCTTTTTTAAGCAGCAATTCAGTGTCTGTGGAGTCATGCCATGTCCCTCCTGCTCCAGCAGCACCCATGATCAGCGCTCACAGCAGCAGGACAGAGGGACACGGACGTGACCAGCCTTGCCACGTGTGCTTTGGCCCTGCCATGCACCAGTGAGTGGCAGCTGGAAGGGGTCCGCCTGTGTGCCTGTGGCCAGGAAAGGCCACGGGGACAGACACAGGAGCAAGACCATGAATTGCCTTGCCCCATCCTTGCTGGGCTTTGTGGGGCTGGGACTTAGCTCTCGGTAGGCAAGCAATTTGTGGAAGGACACCTGCAAAGGTCCTCCATTCCAGGGCAGGTTAGTTTGTGGCACGGAAAGGTCCCTGGCACACACCCAGTGGGGTTGCCCCGATTGCCTTAGGGCCTTCCTGCCCATGCTGCGCAAGGCAAAGCAGACCTCGGGGCTCTGCTCCCAGGGAGGCGTGTCCCCTTCTCACAGAGAGGTGGAGACAAGGTGGAAACACTTGTCCACACGCTGCCACCGGCCCGCTCCAAAGCGCAGGATCAGGCTCCGTCCCTGGCAGTGGCCCCCTCACCCTGCGGGGCTGTGGGGAGGGCGCGGGGTGAGCGGCGGCAAAGCGACCCCGGTTCATCTCTGCGGCGATGCCTCGGCACCTCCGAGATGGGCTCAGCACACCCCGGCGCCAGGACCTGCGCTCAAGCAGCCCCCAGGGGAGCAGCGCAGAAACGTGAATGCAAAATTTTTAAGGATACATGTTTGCTCTCAGCAACAGAAAACCACCTTGGCGTTCCGGAAGGATAAAAGGAGCAGAGCCACGGTGTGTCCGCTCAGCCGCGCGTGTCGTGGCAGCGGGGAGCTGCCAGCTCTGTCACCAGCTCCTGCCACGGCGCCGCAGCTCGCGGGGCCACCCCTCGTCCCCCAGCCCTGCTAAACCTGTCATCCCCACAATGCGGGGAAAAGAAGGCTGCTCCCCCACAGGCTGTCCTCTGCCAGGGAGGCTTTATCGAGGATTTCTGTCTGGTTTGTTGGGTTTTTTTTTTTTTAATAATGAGGCAAAGATAAAAATTCTGTATTTTCATTACTCCCCATTTTCACAGCCCGCTGAACAAAAACACAAAGCGCTTCTCCCGCTGCCCCTTGCTCCCCGGCCCTGCCTCTTTCTCCCATGGAGTTCAATTAAAGAAAGGCGAAAATTGAAGCTGTTGTACGCAAGGCGATTGCAACATGCATATTTGATTTTTATGATGGATCTAAATTGCTGAATAAGGCCGTGGAACAAAGGGAGACTGCGGCTTCCTGCCCATCACAGCCAGGCAGCCACTGCAGAACAAAAGCGCCAGCCATTAGGGGCTCAGCGGGGAGACACATTATATAAATGACTTTGTTTCTCTGCCCCTTCCCCCCCACGGGGGCTCGGACGGGGCTGGGGGCTGCTGATTCCACATCCCGGGGAGAGCAGGCGGCGGACGCGGAGCCTTCATGGAGGCACAGGGCGGCTGCGGGATCCCAGCGTGCCCAGCACGCGCGGCAGCCACGCCGAGGCCGGGGCCAGCCTGACCCCCGGCTCCTGCCCCTGGCAGGATGCAGGTGAGCCGGCATCGCCGGGGCTGGGGTACAGCCTGACCCCTGCCTCCTTGCCACTGGGCGGTTTTGGAGGAGCTGCCATCAAACCAAGGTGGCCGTCGAGCAAAGGGAATGCCCCTCGGGCATTTGGTGACACATCCTTTAACAGCACCCTTTGCAGCCCAGGCTGTGTGGCAAGTGACA